AGCCTAAGGCTTCCCTCCTGTAATTATTAATATAAACCTAACAACTCCAAATAAATCCAAATAAACTCCAAATAAATCAATTAAAAATCATGAATAATTAAAACCAATTTTTATTCCTATGTCACCAATTTATCAATTAGTGTTGGCTATCTTACCACAACCCATCAAATGAAAGTAAATGTAAATTAGTCAACTTCAAAGCAATCCCAAAAACAAAGCCTTCTAACCTTACAACCCCTTTGATTTTTATAAATTCCATTGTTTAATATGCACCCAAGTATCTTAATTGCCGAATAATGTCAGTACCTGATTCCCAACCCAATTCCAATCAAACCCCAGTGATACACAGAGCCTCCAAAATGCAATTTTTACTGAAATAGTATTTGCCAAGCCTATGTAAAATTGTCATCAAATATTTTGTAAGGGATGATTTTTGTGAACTAGCCTGATATCTGATCCTCTCGTCTGACTCTGCCTCGTCACACCTTGTCACGTGACGCACGTCAGTCACACGTTAGCCCCTCCTCTCTCCTGTCGTATCGTATTGCTCCACTCATATGACATAAAAACAGAGACACAGAATCACATTTTAGTAGTTAATGCAATCACTGAGTTATTTCAACCATATTCAATATTCCTTCGTTCACCCATTATTCACTCTAAGACTAACCCAGAACTAAATAGATCGCTCAAAAACATTTTTATTTAATTTTAATCCGTCATTTAATTCAATGCATTATACTTCGCCAACATATATTTAATTTATAAATGTACTACATCTCAACAACTAGTTTCTTGTTCGAATAACAGTTACTTTAACGATTTTAAAAGATTCGTGTCCACCTTCCACTTATCTGTAGCTATTTCACCCCTGCAAGGAAACCCCAAAGACCTATGACCTTAAGCCACCATTTTGTTTTGTAGGCTAAGCGCGACCGCATGTCGTAGTTTTAGCCCCGTAAAATCAAACGCATGCACACATCCCCTTAAGCCCATGCTTACCATACCATAGCACGATAGCATTACGCTACAGCGTCACTATTTTATACCTTATACTCACACAATTACACATAACAGAGCTCACATTTGCTTAGAACTTTCAGTTCCACCACATACAAACAAGTTTAAGAGGCTTGAATCCATCGCAGTGGACCTCTAAGGTTAAAGTTATCATGTAGCACGCAACACAATTAGCATTTAGCAATTAGCATTTAGCCGTAGCTTTAGGTACACTGTGACACAACACACATTTAGCATTTAGCATTAGCATTAGCCTTTAGCCAACTGCGGCCTACAACATGTAACAAAACCCCGCATTGCGTCTTTAATTGAGTACTGTTTCGTTTGTCCTAAATTTATTCTGCCGTGGGTATGGCTATTTCTACGAGCGATCCCCCCCAATGCAAATATCCCGTCGGACAGAAGCTGAGCAAGCCATCCCCAAGAAAATGTCCCACCAACCCCAGTCCCAGACTGACCTGGAAACTCCTAATGCATTTCCAGGATTTTGGCCCACCCTGCGGTCGCCCCGTTCGTCACGAGGGCTTATCTAAACCTGCAATGCTCTAAAATTGTATACATATCTTGGCCCCGACTGTTCTTGACTTACTATTCAAGCAACACATCTCTATAAACAATCCCTAAACTCTAACCACTTTTGCACTATTTTTAAAATTTGTATAATGATTAGCCAGACCCCAGTCATCAGCAAAAACACCACCTGAGGCACGGTCATAATGGTACATTCCTCCAGTGTACACAAGCAGTAACAAAACCAACAACTGAGCTGTGAGAAACACTCACCCTGGTCGGGTCATGACTCCAGACCGAAGTTAGCTTGAGTTAGCTTGGCGACTGCAAATGCAGCAGAGGAGGATTGCAGAACCACTCCTGGCAAGCTCGCCATTTGTCGTATCGAGTGAGTGGTGGCAATTATTGCTGATGAACAAAAGGAGTCTGCTCATACGGAACGTTGATCATAAGGTTTATTCAGATCACAAGCTTCAGGATGAGTGACAGACTCGCGAGGTCTGGAGAGCAGTGTCCTCCAATTCTAATGGCTGCTCTGCCCTCTCTTCTTCGTGTACCCCTATTTATAAACAATGCAACAAGATGGGCCCCCTCTTCTGGCCAATCACCAGTCTACAACACACTTCCTGTCTATTATATGTGACATTACACTAAACATTGCCTTTTGATACTAACATAACCAACATTCCATTTCTTCATGAAAAACATTTAACAAAGACATAATCTTAATACACTACAAGAGCATTAGCTAAAGCAGGCAGTAGCAGTGCCAATACGGAAACCTGGGAAAGACCCTACTAGTCCTTCAAGCTATAGGCTGATAGCGTTGACATCTCATGTATGTAAACTTATGGAAAGGATGATAACGGAAAGGCTGACTTACTTTCTGGAGAGTAGAGGACTAATGTCACCAGATCAAAGTGGGTTCAGGAAAGGCAGGGGAACGATGGATCCTGTACTGTGCCTTGAGTCATACGGAAAGCACAGGCAAATAAGGAGGTGGTGGTAGCCGTTTTCTTCGATGTAGAGAAGGCCTATGATATGATGTGGAAGGAAGGCCTACTTATCAAGCTGGATAAGATGGGGGTTGGAGGAAGGGTTTTTAACTGGATTAAGGATTTTATTTTTGGCCGATCAATACAAGTGAGGGTGGGGAGCTCTATATCAGAAAGCTATGAGGTGGATAATGGTACCCCCCAGGGAAGTGTCATGAGGGTGGGGAGCTCTATGTCAGAAAGCTATGAGGTAGATAATGGTACCCCCCCCCAGGGAAGTGTCATGAGGGTGGGGAGCTCTATGTCAGAAAGCTATGAGGTAGATAATGGTACCCCCCAGGGAAGTGTCATGAGGGTGGGGAGCTCTATGTCAGAAAGCTATGAGGTAGATAATGGTACCCCCCAGGGAAGTGTCATTAGTCCTTTGTTGTTCTCCATTATGATTGACGATGTATTCTCTCAGGTGAGACCTGATATTGGGAGGTCATTGTTTGCGGATGATGGAGCGCTGTGGAAGAGAGGGAGAAATATTACCCATACAGCCAGAAGAGTTCAAGAAGTGATTAGTGAAGTAGAACAGTGGTCCCTCAGGTGGGGCTTCAAGTCTTCAGTTGAGAAACAGACTGTGTTTTTTTCTAGAAGGAAAGTTGGGAGGAAATATACTTGAAGTTGTATGGAAGGAATCTGGAGAGGGTGGGAGGGTTTAGGTTCCTCCTGGGGGTCTGGTTTGACACTCGAATGACATGGGCGGAGCATATTAACAGAGTAGTTGTCAAAGGAAAGAAAATATTGAATGTGATGCATTGCTTGTCAGGAATGGAGTGGGGGGCAGATAGAATGGCTTCGAAAATGATATATATAGTGCTGTTAAGGTCAAAAATGGATTATTGAAGTATAGCATATGGATCAGCAGCTCAGACATCTTTAAAAAAGCTAGATGTTATCCAGGCCCAAGCCCTAAGAATATGTTGTGGAGCACTCAGGACCTCCCCAGTGGCAGCGATGCAGGTAGAGTTGGGAGAGATGCCGTTAAAGTTAAGAAGACAACAGCTAGCCGTGACATATTGGGTAAATCTACAAGGACATACGGTTACACATCCTACAAAAAAGGCACTCCTAGAGTGAATGGGAACATTAGCAAAATCTGAATACAAGCTTTGGGTGGATAGGCAATTGCATGGCGAGAGAGATGGGGTTGTGTGGGAGGGAGTTTAGCCCCTCTGTGGTTCTTCCTGCTATCCCACCTTGGGTTCTCCCTCAACCAGTGATAGATCTAGGGTTGCTTGAGAGGGTAAGAGATGTTGAGGAAGGAGTAGATTCAGTTGTAAGTGAACATTTAAGAACACAATACTATGCTTGAATATAGTCACAGATGGATCTAAGGACATTAAAACAGGGAGGACAGGAGCAGCTTTTAGTGCTCCTGAGTTTATTGGCTGCAGAGTGGGTGGAGGAGGTGAGGCCAGACAGGGTAGTCATCTGTTCTGACCCCTGTGCAGCACTGATGAGCTTAAATTCATGTGTGTCTCAGAGCAGACAGGATGTAATGTATGAGGTTTTGCAGTGTTTGTATAGGGTGAAACAGATGGGGATGTTTGTGATGTTCCTCTGGGTACCAGCTCATGTGGGAGTAGAGGGGAATGTGGATATTATTGCCAAGCAGGCTCTTAAACATCCTTATGTTGAGATGGAATTGTCAATCAGTAAAGCAGAAGCCAAGGGATTAATAAGAACAGTTATTGTTATTAGATTTGAGGAGTAATGGGGTTGAAGAGACAGGATTAAATGAACTGCTGGGGAAATCTTCAGGGGATGTAGTATTTAATTATGTATTTCGTTTCCTTAGGGAGATGAGATTATTGGGTAGGATTTAGACCTTCACTGTCTCTGGTTCACACTTCACTGTCTCTGGTTCACCTTAAAGTTGGTTGCCAACCGCCATATAAAATCCACAGAAGAAGAAGACGAAGAAGATTGGTGGTAACTAGTGACAACCGTTGAGGCTCTGTTTCCGGGCGTGATTACGTCAGTCAACCGCCGTGAAGATTCTAGTTAGTTTAGCCAACTCAACACTTACCACCCGGCGACTCCCGGACCCAAACCCGGATAAGAAGTGTGCCAACAAGCACTCGGTCAAGGTAATGTTCATTATCAAGATTTCAGAGTATATGCATTTAATAGATATTTTCTCTGCACAATATCTGATTTCAACGATGAGGTAGGTAGCTGCAATACCGTTAACTTAGCTAGCTACTTGCTAGCCAGCTAGTGTGGGCTCTGTACTTTGATAGAACTAGCTAGCCCAGCTAGCATTGCCGCTTGTAAATAAGTAATTGATCTTATGATTATGATCTTGCGTTTCTGCAAATAAACAATAATCTGATTTAAATAAGTGTTACATCTGTGTTCATAGCTAGTTGGCTAGCTTCATTTGTTTTAGTTTGCTAACTTGGCAAATGATGTCACCATACAATCATGTCTCTAGTTGAGGTCACTTTCTGAAAAATTACTTTGGAATTATTTTGGTCTTTCACTCCATAGACAGACTGCAGAACATACTGGGGTTGCTTAACCTACCTAGCGTGAGGTGTGTGACAGTAACAACTTAAGAGATCCAGCACTGAAATACTGTTTACCTGTGGCAATGAAATCTCTACTAACAGCAAAATCAAGAGGAGCTTGTCAAGTTCAGAATCAGCAGATGCCTTGGAGCAGAATGTTGCTGGGATCACTGCTTGTCTTCAGTTTTCTGGTAGCTTCTGTGTCCTCTAATGAGGATTACTATAAGTTACTGAAGGTGTCCAGAGAAGCCACAACCAGAGAGATACGACAAGCCTTCAAAAGGCTGGCTCTGATCATGCACCCGGATAAAAACCCAGTGAGTAGCCTGCCCTATATATATACATACATATATACAGTACCAGTCAAAAGTTTGGACACACCTACTCATTCAAGGGTTTTTCTTTATTTGTACTATTTTCTACATTGTAGAATAATAGTGAAGACATCAAAACGATGAAATAACACATATGGAATCATGTAGTAACCAAAATATGTTTGAGATTTGAGATTCTTCAAATAGCCACCCTTTGACCTGATGACAGCTTTGCACACTCTTGGCATTCTCTCAACCAGCTTCACCTGGAATGCTTTTCCTACAGTCTTGAAGGAGTTCCCACATATGCTGAGCACTTGTTGGCTGCTTTTCCTTCACTCTGCCGTCCGACTCATCCCAAACCATTTCAATTGGGTTGAGGTCGGGGGATTGTGGAGGCCAGGTCATCTGATGCAGCACTCCTGGAGGTGTGTTGGGTCATTGTCCTGTTGAAAAACAAATGATATCCCACTAAGCCCAAACCAGATGGGATGGCGTATCGCTGCAGAATGCTGTGGTAGCCATGCTAGTTACGTGTGCCTTGAATTCTAAATAAATTACAGACAGTGTCACCAGCAAAGCACCCCACATCATAACACTACACATGCGGAGATCATCCGTTCACCCACACCGCGTCTCACAAAGACACAGTGGTTTGAACCAAAAATCTCAAATTTGGACTCCAGACCAAAGGACAAATTTCCACCGGTCTAATGTCCATTGATTGTGTTTCTTGGCCCAAGCAGGTCTCTTCTTACTATTGGTGTCCTTTAGTAGTGGTTTCTTTGTAGCAATTCGACCATGAAGGCCTGAGTCTGTTACTTGAACTCTGTGAAGTATTTATTTGGTCTGCAATTTCTGAGGCTGGTAACTCTAATGAACTTATCCTCTGCAGCAGAGGTAACTCTGGGTCTTCCATTCCTGTGGCGGTCCTCATGAGAGCCAGTTTCATCATAGCGCTTGATGGTTTTTGCAACTGCGCTTGAAGAAACTTTCAAAGTTCTTGAAATGTTCTGTATTGACTGACCTTCATGTCTTAAAGTAATGATGGACTGTTGTTTCTCTTTGCTTATTTGAGCTGTTCTTGCCATAATATGGACTTAGTCTTTTACCAAATAGGGCTATCTTCTGTGTACCCCCCTACCTTGTCACAACAGAACTGATTGGCTCAAACGCATTAAGAAGGAAATAAATTCCACAAATTAACTTTTAAGAAGGCACACCTGTTAATTGAAATGCATTGCAGGTGACTACCTCATGAAGCTGGTTGAGAGAATGCCAAGAGTGTGCAAAGCTGTCATCAAGTCAAAGGGTGGCTATTTGAAGAATCTCAAATATAAACTATATGTTTGATTTATTTAGCACTTTTTTGGTTACTACATGATTCCAAATGTGTTATTTCATAGTTTTGATGTCTTCACTATTATTCTACAATGTAAAAATAAAGAAAAACCCTTGAATGAGTAGGTGTGTCCTAACTTTTGACTGGTACTGTATATATATGTATTAGATGTTATAACATGTTAAAATGTTGTACATTTTATCATAGTCTGTAACATATCACAACATACTGGTGATTTCCTAGTCTGGTCCCAGATCTGTTTTAGCTGTCTTTCCTACTCCTTTAGTCATTGTCACACCAAAACAGCGCAAACACATCTGGTACCAAGCTAGGTCCAGTACTTGATTTGTTATGTTGTTCTCATTCTCCAGCATGATGAAACTGCCCACGACAAGTTCCTGAAGGTAACCCGAGCATATGAAGTTTTGAAGGATGACGATCTGAGGAAGAAGTATGACAAGTATGGAGAGAAGGGTCTGCAGGACGAGCAGCAGGGAGGAGGACGATATGAGAGCTGGAACTACTATAGAAATGAATTTGGTAATTCGTTGTTAGAGTAGTCTTAAGAATTTGAAATGCAAACATTGACAATAAATATATTTAAAAAAGGGATTGATAAGCCACAGCTAACATGCAACATTTTCAGTCATTTCCTCAGGAAGTTGGTGTTTTCTTATCATCTTAGTCTTTCTGTCTTGTTTCTGCAGGTATCTATGATGATGACCTAGAGATTGTCACTTTAGATAGGGGAGACTTCGGTAAGTGATGTCACAGTATTCCATACCTTCACAGCCAACCTTTTTTTGGGGGGGGGGGGGTAAGTTTGTTGTTGTTGTGATACTGACTCTACTACCATAGATGCAGCAGTGAACTCTGGAGAACTCTGGTTTGTCAACTTCTACTTCCCTCGTTGTCATCACTGTCACGAGCTGGCTCCCACGGTAATACTTTCCTCACTCACTCTAAAAGTGCAATCTACAATATTTACTGCTATTCATTGGTTGTTTCATATACTTAATTAAAATGTCCATTGAACAGTATGAGATATTGCAGATGGTACCTTTTTTTTTTTTTTTATCCTCTTCATTTATCCTTTGATAATTGTTATCTATGTTTAATATTTCAACATGATATGATATTATGTTACTTAGTGTGTGTGTGTGTGTTTCCACAGTGGAGGGAGTTTGCTAAGGAGATGGATGGAGTGATCAGGATAGGAGCCGTGAACTGCGGAGACAACAACAGACTGTGTCGAAGCAAAGGCATCAACAGCTACCCAAGCCTCTACATTTACAAAGCTGGAATGGTAGGAGAAACATCACAGCTTTCTTTAGGTTTGCTCTGTCATGCATCACGTAGCCTGGTTAAACCAGACTGAATGCTAAGCTCACCATTGTTTTAGCACATCGTTCAATCTGTTTTAACCAGGTTATGTATCACTCACTGATTTATGGTGTTAGGAACAACACTCTAAAACCGATCCCTTTCTGTCGTCCAATAGAATCCAGAGAAATATTTTGGAGATAGGGCCAAGGAGAGTTTAACTAAGTTCGGCATGCAGTTTGTGAAGAGCAGAGTTACAGAGCTGTGGCAAGGCAATGTCTTCACTGAGATTGAGGCAGCGTTTTCATCTGGAGTTGGATGGCTGATCACCTTCTGTGCTGACTCTGGAGGTAAGACAGGCTGTTAAGGGTTACGTTGAGATGCTTTGTCATGTTTACAAATAGAGACTTTTAGTCAGAATTAGTGAAACCAATATGGTATTAATTGTATTTTCTATACAGTTAAAATAGGATCTGTGTTTGATCTCTTCATAGACTGTCTAGAGTCAAAGACGAGGCAAAAATTAGCTGGAATGTTGGTAAGTTCTCATTGAACCCATGCTGTATGTTTACCTTCCCATGAGCATACATTGATATTTTGACTGAATGTCTCTTCTTGTGTCCTCTTCAGGAAGGTCTAGTGAATGTGGGCTGGATGGACTGCTCTACACAGGCTGAGTTGTGTGACAGCTTTGAGGTGACCACCAGCACCACAGCCTTCTTTCCCCCCGGCAGTTCACTGAAGAACAAGGGCAGCGTGCTGGTAAGAGAGGCCCATGTTTTAGTTTTGTTTGCGCACACTAAAAACAAAGAACAACATTAAATGTATTTGTAAGTGAGAAGGAGAAACCCAGGATGGGTTTATGAAGAAGCCTCACCATACATACAGTTGAAGTCGGAAGTTTACACCTTAGCCAAATAGTTAAACTCAGTTATTCACAATTCCTGACATTTTAATTCTAGTAAAAATTCCCTGTCTTAGGTCAGTTAGGATCACCACTTTATTTTAAGAATGTGAAATGTCAGAATAATAGTAGAGAGAGATTTATTTCAGCTTTTATTTATTTCATCACATTCCCAGTGGGTCAAAAGTTTACATACACTCAATTAGTATTTGGTAGCGTTGCCTTTAAATTGTTTAACTTGGGTCAAACATTTCGGGTAGCCTTCCACAAGCTTCCCACAATAAGTTGGGTGAATTTTGGCCCATTCCTCCTGACAGAGCTGGTGTAACTGAGTCAGGTTTGTAGGCCTCCTTGCTCACACACGCTTTTTCAGTTCTGCCCACAAATGTTCTATAGGATTGAGGTCAGGGCTTTGTGATGGCCACTCCAATACCTTGACTTTGTTGTCCTTAAGTCATTTTACCACAACTTTGGAAGTATGTTTGGGGTCATTGCCCATTTGGAAGACTCATTTGTGACCAACCTCATGATGCCATCTATTTTGTGAAGTGCACCAGTCCCTCCTGCAGCAAAGCACCCCCACAGCATGATGCTGCCAACCCCGTGCTTCACGGTTGGGATGGTGTTTTTTGTCTTGGCTGATTTCTTTTGATTTTCCCATGATGTCAAGCAAAGAGTGAAATAATCTGTCTATAAACAATTGTTGGAAAAATGACTTGTGTCATGCACAAAGTAGATGTCCTAACCGACTTGCCAAAACTATAGTTTGTTAACAAGGATTTGTGGAGTGGTTTAAAAACGAGTTTTAATGACTCCAACCTAAGTGTATGTAAACTTCCGACTTCAACTGTAGCTAAGAGAACACTTTTTTATGTTTTATTGAGATGATAGAATCGTAACTGTTGTGAAAGCACAGTTTTACAACAAACATTGGTTTCATCACAACAGTTCATGCAGAGTTTGGACACCAGAGAGATCTATGGAGAGGTGATGCAGCATCTGCCTGACCTGGAGGCTCTTACTAAGGAAACCTTCCAGGTACAGTAATAATAATCAAAGCTAAGGTACAGTAAAAATCATCTGCATTGCAGTCTCGTGCAACCATGTATTTATTGTGCATGGGGGGGGGGTTTATGTCTTCATTTGTATGCCGGCTTGAATGTTGTGGATATTTCAGTGGTGTCCTGATGTTCTTTCTTCTTCTTAGTAATAATAGACCTACCTAGTAAAAAGAACCACATATATTTGACATGAAATAATCTATTGTCTGACATTATTTCAGTTGGGGAAAACACCTGTAGTGGTGATGCTGAAATATTTAGGGGGAAAAGTGATTCTGTCCTATTCTATTGTGTTCTATTCTATTCAACATCGGTCTCTGTAGAGTAAACTGGCCCATCATCGGTGGCTGGTCAGTTTTTCTTTCGGACAGAAGACCATTGCGTCTCATGAGTATAAGAAGCTCAAGGCTCTTCTGAAGGCGGCCCACATACAGGTAAGTTCTGGAATCCACAATGAATATCGCTCTGATTCACTGTTCATTCACGTCACTGATTCAGTCTGGATGTTTAATACTGCCAGGACTCTGTGCTTTTTCTCAGGTGGGAAAGGTGGACTGCCTTACTGACTCAGAACTGTGCGTCTCCTTCTACATTCAAAAGCCCTGCATCGCTGTCTTCAAAGGCCTTGGGATTCATGACTTCGAGATACACCATGGTAAGTCAACGTCTTATTCGAACACAAGCGATTTTTGTATTTTATCTCTCTATTTCACTCGGCATTCCTTTTCACTGGTTGTTGTATATCTATTTATTTTGTTATTCTTGTGTTTTGTTTTTCATGAGAGCTTGAGTGAGTAAGATTTCCAATGTATTTCTTATAAATGGCAAATAAACGGTTTCTGTTCTCCCAGGGAAGGATGTGCTGTATAACATCATAGCGTTTGCTAAGGAGAGTGTCAGCGCCCATGTCACCACTCTGAGACCAGAGAACTTCCCCAGTGATGGAAAGGAGCCCTGGCTAGTTGACTTCTTTGCTCCTGTAAGTATCGGCCTTATGTTAGTGACTAATACTCTACTTGCTTATCGATGTTCACAGTTGACTACGTGTTGACATGTATTGAAAGATAGGTGTGGCTACTAAGGAAATAATCTGTTGGTGACTAACATTAATCCCTGAAAGTAAACAGACATTATTGTTGTGTAACGTGGACTAGATCCAGTTGATTTGGCTGAGACATTGGGTGAGGTCCATGAACAAATACTAATATACTGTTTCCTTGTAGTGGTGTCCACCCTGTCGTGCTCTCCTCCCTGAGCTGAGGAAAGCCTCGATCCAGCTGTTTGGTCAGATGAAGTTTGGAACGCTGGACTGCACCGTGCATGAGAGACTCTGCAGCATGGTGAGTGTCGGGAGAACATACCAAACGTAAACCCAAACCCCCTAGATGTGGTATTCTTCTATGTATTCCACAATATCGGCCAAGATGTATTGAGGGAGCCTGGTTGCCAGTCTGTTTAGCTAGCATTCCACACCTTGTACTCCATGTCATGTGCATATGATGCAGGGTAAAATTAGTGGAATGTTAGGTAAAAAGACTGCCAACCAGGTTAGTATTGAGGAGCCAGCCATGCAAGACTGTTGCTCTAAAATTCCAGAGTAAATAACTAGGTTCCAGAGTTTAACTATGTCCCCAAATCATGGCCCTACTGTATGACGTAATCTCTCACTATAATGAAGGTATTGATCATGATTGAAGTGAATAATACGCATTTCATTCAATGGACTTAACTTAGTATGACTCACACATATCAACAAAGCCGTTTTTATTTCTTCCGGTAACATTTTTACTGCTTTCTTCTGGGCTGTATGGCATACAGGCGTAGTAGGGCTATCATTCCTCTGGCTGTGTCATAGCAAGGCTAGGCGTAGGGCTGTCATTCCTCTGGCTGTGTCGTAGCAAGGCGTAGGGCTATCATTCCTCTGGCTGTGTCGTAGCAAGGCGTAGGGCTGTCATTCCTCTGGCTGTGTCGTAGCAAGGCGTAGGGCTGTCATTCCTCTGGCTGTGTCGTAGCAAGGCGTAGGGCTGTCATTCCTCTGGCTGTGTCGTAGCAAGGCGTAGGGCTGTCATTCCTCTGGCTGTGTCGTAGCAAGGCGTAGGGCTGTCATTCCTCTGGCTGTGTCGTAGCAAGGCTAGGCATAGGGCTATCATTCCTCTGGCTGTGTCGTAGCAAGGCGTAGGGCTGTCATTCCTCTGGCTGTGTCGTAGCAAGGCGTAGGGCTGTCATTCCTCTGGCTGTGTCGTAGCAAGGCGTAGGGCTGTCATTCCTCTGGCTGTGTCGTAGCAAGGCTAGGCGTAGGGCTATCATTCCTCTGGATGTGTCATAGCAAGGCGTAGGGCTGTCATTCCTCTGGCTGTGTCGTAGCAAGGCTAGGCATAGGGCTATCATTCCTCTGGCTGTGTCGTAGCAAGGCTAGGCATAGGGCTATCATTCCTCTGGCTGTGTCGTAGCAAGGCTAGGCATAGGGCTATCATTCCTCTGGCTGTGTCGTAGCAAGGCGTAGGGCTATCATTCCTCTGGCTGTGTCGTAGCAAGGCGTAGGGCTATCATTCCTCTGGCTGTGTCGTAGCAAGGCGTAGGGCTATCATTCCTCTGGCTGTGTCGTAGCAAGTCGTAGGGCTATCATTCCTCTGGCTGTGTCGTAGCAAGGCGTAGGGCTGTCATTCCTCTGGCTGTCTCGTAGCAAGGATAGGCGTAGGGCTGTCATTCCTCTGGCTGTGTCGTAGCAAGGCGTAGGGCTATCATTCCTCTGGCTGTGTCGTAGCAAGGCGTAGGGCTATCATTCCTCTGGCTGTGTCGTAGCAAGGCGTAGGGCTATCATTCCTCTGGCTGTGTCGTAGCAAGGCGTAGGGCTATCATTCCTCTGGCTGTGTCGTAGCAAGGCGTAGGGCTATCATTCCTCTGGCTGTGTCGTAGCAAGGCTAGGCATAGGGCTATCATTCCTCTGGCTGTGTCGTAGCAAGGCGTAGGGCTATCATTCCTCTGGCTGTGTCGTAGCAAGGCGTAGGGCTATCATTCCTCTGGCTGTGTCGTAGCAAGGCGTAGGGCTGTCATTCCTCTGGCTGTCTCGTAGCAAGGATAGGCGTAGGGCTGTCATTCCTCTGGCTGTGTCGTAGCAAGGCGTAGGGCTATCATTCCTCTGGCTGTGTCGTAGCAAGGCGTAGGGCTATCATTCCTCTGGCTGTGTCGTAGCAAGGCGTAGGGCTGTCATTCCTCTGGCTGTGTCGTAGCAAGGCGTAGGGCTGTCATTCCTCTGGCTGTGTCGTAGCAAGGCGTAGGGCTGTCATTCCTCTGGCTGTGTCGTAGCAAGGCGTAGGGCTATCATTCCTCTGGCTGTGTCGTAGCAAGGCGTAGGGCTGTCATTCCTCTGGCTGTGTCGTAGCAAGGCGTAGGGCTGTCATTCCTCTGGCTGTGTCGTAGCAAGGCGTAGGGCTATCATTCCTCTGGCTGTGTCGTAGCAAGGCTAGGCGTAGGGCTATCATTCCTCTGGCTGTGTCGTAGCAAGGCTAGGCGTAGGGCTGTCATTCCTCTGGCTGTGTCGTAGCAAGGCTAGGCGTAGGGCTGTCATTCCTCTGGCTGTGTCATAGCAAGGCGTAGGGCTGTCATTCCTCTGGCTTTGTCGTAGCAAGGCTAGGCATAGGGCTATCATTCCTCTGGCTGTGTCGTAGCAAGGCTAGGCATAGGGCTATCATTCCTCTGGCTGTGTCGTAGCAAGGCGTAGGGCTATCATTCCTCTGGCTGTGTCGTAGCAAGGCGTAGGGCTATCATTCCTCTGGCTGTGTCGTAGCAAGGCGTAGGGCTATCATTCCTCTGGCTGTGTCGTAGCAAGGCGTAGGGCTATCATTCCTCTGGCTGTGTCGTAGCAAGGCGTAGGGCTATCATTCCTCTGGCTGTGTCGTAGCAAGGCGTAGGGCTGTCATTCCTCTGGCTGTGTCGTAGCAAGGCGTAGGGCTATCATTCCTCTGGCTGTGTCGTAGCAAGGCTAGGCGTAGGGCTGTCATTCCTCTGGCTGTGTCGTAGCAAGGCGTAGGGCTATCATTCCTCTGGCTGTGTCGTAGCAAGGCGTAGGGCTATCATTCCTCTGGCTGTGTCGTAGCAAGGCGTAGGGCCATCATTCCAGCCATGTCACCTGTGATTGTGTGGTGAGCTGTGAGATATAACATTGAATCATTGGTCTAAATTAGTGGCAGTTGACCCAATTCAGTATCCACTTCTTCTGATTAATCTGACATCATCCTCCATTTCATATATGGAAACTGGCCTTTCCCCTAGCCAAAATCAAGATTTTATATTTTATATCCTGATCACATCCCTGAGTATGAACCAAATTAAATGTGTTTGTGGTTTTGATGGATAACTGAAAGTAGCAGTGGCTACCACAGTTATGTAACGTACTGTACAGTGGTTCCTCATTTAAAAGTTGCATCATTCCGCAGTATAGTCTGCGGTATGCTGTGATATACTTTGGGAGTCGCAGTGCTTGCAGTTAATGCTCATTTGAAACTCCAGAGGGCATCCTTGAGCACATATACTCGATCTAGTCTTTTTTATCATTATTTTATTAATGAAAACACAAAGATGTTGATGAACAAATACTTTATGCTTCTTTCTATTGGATATACAGTATATACAGTGCATTCGGAAATTATTCAGACCCCTTCCCTTTTCCACATTTTGTTACGTTACAGCCTTATTCTAAAATGGATTAAATAAATGTTTTTCCTCATCAATCTACACACAATACCCCATAATGACAAAGCGAAAACAGGTTTTGTTTTTGTAAAAAAATTATTATAAAAAAAAAACTAAAATACCTTATTTACATAAGTATTCAGACCCTTTGCTATGAGACTCGAAATTGAGCTCAGGTGCATCTTGTTTCCATTGATCATCCTTGAGATGTTTCTACAACTTGATTGGAGTCCACCTGTGGTAAATTCAATTGATTGGACATGATTTGGAAAGGCACACACCTGTCTATATAAGGTCCCACAGTTGACAGTGCATGTCAGAGCAAAAACCAAGCCATGAGGTCGAAGGAATTGTCTGTAGAGCTCCAAGACAGGATTGTGTCGAGGCACAGATCTGGGGAAGGGTACCAAAAAATGTCTGCAGCATTGAAGGTCCCCAAGAACACAGTGGCCTCCAACATTCTTAAATGGAAGAAGTTTGGAACCACCAAGACTCTTCCTAGCGCTGGCCGCCTGGCCAAACTGAGCAATCGGGGGAGAAGGGCCTTGGTCAGGGAGGTGACCAAGAACCCGATGGTCACAGAGCTCCAGAGTTCCTCTGTGGAGATGGGAGAACCTTCCAGAAGGACAACCATCTCTGCAGCACGCCACCAATTAGGCCTTTATGGTAGTGGCCAGACGGAAGCCACTCTTCAGTAAAAGGCACATGACAGCCCGCTTGGAGTTTGCCAAAAGGCATCTAAATACTCTCAGACCATGAGAAACAAGATTCTCTGGTCTGATGAAACCAAGATTGAACTCTTTGGCCTGAATGCCAAGCGTCACATCCCTACGGTGAAGCATGGTGGTGGCAGTATCATGCTGTGGCGATGTTTTTCAGCGGCAGGGACTGGGAGACTAGTCAGGATCGAAGGAAAGATGAATGGAGCAAAGTACAGAGAGATCCTTGATGAAAACCTGCTCCAGAGCGCTCAGGACCTCAGACTGGGTCGAAGATTCACCTTCCAACTGGACAACGACCCTAAGCACACAGCCAAGACAACGCAGGAGTGGCTTCGGGACAAGTCTCTGAATGTCCTTGAGGGGCCCAGCCAGAGCCCGGACTTGAATTGCAGTTGTAAATGTTTCCAATAGTGACTGATAGCTTTACAGTTAATATTACTTTATAGCCTTTTAGCTATTTTACACAGCATTTTATGTCATATAGCTAGATAGCTATCTACGTTTTTAAGTAAGAGCTTTTCAATTGGCATCTCTCCCAATGTTTTCAGTCACAGGTGGGGACTGGATTAGGTGTGAGCAGTGCAGGAGGTGGGCTCATGAGTTGTGCTCGACTTTTACTGGGCATAGCTTTATTTGTGACCTATGTACAGATTAGAATGGTGCAATAGCAGAGCATAAGAGTTTCCACACCAATGTTACACTGAATTAATCCAATGTTATGAGTTATATTCCATTCCAATATTATATTCCAATTAATATTTATTTTAATGAATTAAAAACAACTATTGAAAACCTTTTGCTCCTGAATGTCATTTTAAAGACTGCTGGGATGTAAAATCTTGCATTATTCAAATCATATTTAGTGCGATTGTATATAATGGATTGTATAGAAAAGGAACAACAAAGAGAGAACAAAGAAAATGAATGTGTAGGTGAGTTAAAAAGAGGGACTTTACATCATATCTCCTCATAGTGCAGATATTTTATGGTGACATGTGCAACACCAAAATATACTTAAGTATTAAAAGTATAAATAATTTCAAATTCCCTATATGAAGCAAACCAGATGGCACAATTGTATTGTTTTTTAAAATTTACAGATAGCCAGGGGCACACTCCAACACTCAGACATAATTTACTAAAGATGCATTTGTGTTTAGTGAGTCCACCAGATCAGAGGCAGTAGGGATGACCAGGGATGTTCTCTTGAAGTGTGTGAATTTGACCATTTTCCTTTCCTGCTAGCCATTCAAAATGTAACGAGTACTTTTGGATGTCAGGGAAAATGTCTGGAGTAAAAAGTACATTATTTTCTTTAGGAATGTAGTAAAGTAAAAGTTGTCAAAAATATAAATAGTAAAGTAAAGTACAGATACCCCATAAAACTACTTAAGTAGTTTACACCACTGC